CATTGTATATAATGGTGTTTACACTGTCACATGGAGGGGGACCAATTGTATATAATGGTATCCACAACGTCACGTGGAGGGAGACCTCGAGCAAAACAAAAGCTACTTTCATGCATGATTTTAATATCTATATGTAAACAACGATGTATACAAGCATATTAAAAAAAAAATAGAAATTTACACACGATTACACAAACTATTGAAGTATATCATTGTCTCCATCTAAATTTTTGATTTTTTTCGCTGTAAGAACTCACTGTGCTTAACTACTAGCCCGATTGAAAAAAAGCATTAAAACCAATAACAAAAACTCCATGTGAAACCACACTTCAAATCAAATATATGAAAATTAAAATAAAGTGTAAGGAACAGTCTACATGATCGACCTATCTAACACGTTTATTTCATCATCAAATTACAAGAAAAACGTATTCGAGTTCGTGTTCATCGCCAAAATTAAAGACTAAAGAGATGTAAAGTCGGGAAGTCAAAACGACGGCTTCTTCTTGATTCTTCAATTCTATGGTTCCAAAACCCTAGCTAAACTCTTACTTGATTCATCGAAAATCTCTGTTCTAAATTTTTTATAGAGTTATTATTTATTACATAAACATTTACACCAGATTAAAAAAATTATTGAACATTATAAACTGAAAAAACATCAAGTTAATCCAATTGGTTGGCACGATTAAAAGTAACAGATCATTAACGTTGATAATTACTAGTGTTTTCTTGATGCCACCTACGATTGTCTACTGATTTAAAAGGAATCTCCACCCAATTATGGAACAAAGCGGAAAGTTATGTTCACATGGGACACTGGTAATCAGTAGAGAAGGATTAGACACAAAAAGGAAGAATAATTTAAGTGATTAAAATATGTCTTGCCTAAATTTATGGAAGTGACACAATATTGATAGCCTAAGAGAAAAGAGATGAACTAGGTTATTTTGAGGATCTTGATGACCTATTAAACTGCGAACGTTGCGATCGCTTAAAAATGTGTTTAGATTCATGTATCGTAACGTCTTTTGTGTTGTCTTGACCTTGTTAATTACTTCGACCCTATTCAAAATTATATTTATTACTTATTGATTATATTGGAAAAGTACGAACACAATTTCATATCAGTTAAATATGGAGTCGAAGACGAAGTTATAAGAGATTTGGCTGCTTCGTTTAATGAGCTAACCTTTTAAGATAGTACCTCAATTCTCAGAAGAGTGAGTGCACTAAGATTGTTTAAGTTGCACTCAATGTCTATTTTATTCAAGATTAATATAAAAGTAAGGTAGCGAGTTCAAGCCTTAAGAACTTGCGTGTAATAAGACATTTCTTTATTTTTAATGTTATTTTAATTATTCTAAGGCCCTTACTAATGATTTCAATGAGATCATTATATTTATTCATTTTATCTAATTAATTTATTTAACCTTTAAAAAATTTAAAAATTTGGACAAGAAAATAAAATAATATAGAAAGTGCCTATCCTCGTCGTTTGGCACCTAAACCCGTATTAGACGGTCAAAATAAAATTGGTTGTCTTTTTCACGCCTAACTTATAAACTAGACTTTTTCCTTGTGCTTCACCCCAATTTCCACATTTCAAAATGCTAATTTTAATAACATTTCCCATAACTACAATTCTTAGACATTGATTAGAATATTCTAGAGAAACGTATTGTTCTATCTTGATACGATCAAACCATTCGTGAATATTGCACGGGAAAAGGTTCATCCTGGACCTTCACTAGGGGTTACCAAAATTAATTATTTTTATGCCATTTTTCTATCAACTAAAATGGTCTGCTTGCTATAATATATTACAAATGATAAATTAATAAATTTTATCAATTAATAAAAACATTAAAATTAATTTCACATCACTGAATCTATCCTATGGCGGAATATTATCGAGATGTTAATGAACCAGATGTTCTTCTATTTATCGATATTATCCTCCCAAATCAACAAGCATTCAAATCATATTCTTCGTTGGCGATCATCACCCCATCACGTATCTTATACTAAGATTTTTGTGACAAATGTTACATTATGGATTGTGACTCAAACACTATACTCACATACCATTCCAATAAAGCCTATTTTTAGGCCCACTTTAGTTTTTATTTTGCATATGCTCTCACTGTTGGGCTGTTGTGGGCCTGGATCGACCCAGTTGAAGTTTCTGTCATAGAGACTTTTAGTGCCGATTTGACATTTTTTAATTTATTTTGTGGTTTGTTACATAACCATTTTTTACTACACATTTACACACTAAAATATTTTACACATATACCAAAAACTAAGAGAGAGAGAGAGATTCAGGCTTGCTAGAATAGCTAACATGCTAACTTTCTTTGTTGGCGTCTACTTCTTAACCACATATTCCATAAAAATTACAATTCAAAATTCTTTTTTCTACCAAAATGATTGTCAAACAGGCTATTAATTGCATGGAATAATGTTAAAAGTACAACACTTAATTTTACGTGTCGTGTCATATTATTTCTGTAAGCTTTCATTTGAGAAGAAATTTTAAACAAAACGATCAATAAATAAATATAAATAAGTGGTGAATAAGTGAATACTAATTGCGATTCATTGAAATGTGTGGTTAAAAATAAAGTTTGATCATTTTTAAAAATATTTAACTATTTTAAAACTTCCTTTATAGACTTTTAATTTATGTGTGAGCCTGAAATATCACATTTTGAAGTAATGTATTTTTTTTTATGACGACTCAGGTGTCCAAATTTCGTCCGCTAATCCTGAGGAGTGACGGCCTTCCCCTCTAGTTCGCCACTGCGTTAATTCGGATGCGATTACAGCTTATACACATTTGGGCTGGACATTCGACGGTTCCCTATGGACTCTGCCTACATATATATTGCCTTCTTTCATTTAAATGTCACTTTCTAACATAAATGTTGTCTTCTAACTGTCACGGGAATTCGAACTTTCGATGCTCCATAGAAAACCCTCCCACTTTATCACTACGCCATGCCAGTGAGGGCTTGAAGTTATGTATTTGATTCTATGCTTCATTAGCTCTCTTATCTCTAAAGTTTTGAGGCTTGATTACATAATTGCATTAATTAGTGTTCTTGCTTTATGTATGCTCTATTTTCTCGACCCCAAATCCTGCAATTACTTTTAAAATACTTTTATTTTATTTGAGTTTTAAATTTCTTACATTAAAGTATTCTCAATAAAGTGAGCTTTGACACTCGATAATTTATTTTAATTTTTTATTTTTCAAAATAACATTGGAGGGCATTTAGTTTTCTATGGTAAGGTCCACAAATATTGTACTATGACTAAAAGTTCACAAAATAACACAAAATCATTTTTATATTTTGTCACAATACATCCATTTCTCAAAATGATGGACCCTTAAGCGATAGCCCAAGAAAAAAAGAATGGAGAAGAAAAGGAGAGGGAAACTAGAAAATATCAAGAAAGATTTTGGACATTGGATCAACTAGCATAAATGAACATGCTATAGTTAATTATAAGAATGAAAATTCGATTACTCTAGTTGGTACTTGTCAGAAGAATTAGTCTAAATGTATCGAATGGTGTCCCCCCTCTTACAATGCGTATGGGCCCCATGTGTATTTAAAAATTTCGGCTTGTGGTCCCCACCTCCTAATGTGAGGGGGGTGTAAAAGATTTAGTGTAAAAATTCGGTACATATAGCATAACCTCTTGTTAGAAAAGGTGGAGATGCAGTTCTCGAGACTTTTCGATACTTAAGTTAGTGAGGTCGCACATGAATAATTTAAAAGAATAGTATTATATGTGAGAATCGTGTTTTAAATTGTGTGCAAAAAATGTCTTCCCTCTCTCGGATGCTCTTGTTGTGTTAACACTAATGTCTGAAGTCAGTTGTAAAACTTATTTTTTCACTTCTCACACGTAATGAAGTAGTCCACAAGTTAGCTTTAGGTAGCATTTTGTGTACAAAAGTGCTTCGGACTTTTTTTTATTTGTATTTTGTCCGTTGTTCACAACAATTAATTTAATGAAAAGTCGATTTTGCTGTATATATATAAAAAAAGGTCAACATCCTAGTCAAATCAATTATTTGTTTGATGACAATTAGAACTTATGCCAGTGTCGAGGAATCATTTGATTCTTATTCGTCGGAGTGGGTTAAGGATCCTTGAAATTTGTATATTCGAAATGAGCGGAAGTCATATTGTCGCAGTTTTTGATTGGTTTTCTATCCGTAATAGTTTGAAACGTCATATGTAATTAATGATTACCGTTGTTTGCACTTCCTTTCTTGAGAAGCTACGTTATTATTTCTAAAATTCAAGTTTAACTGAATTTTGGAATAAGTGCATTTTGCAGTATTAGAAGAAATTGGTTATCCTTGGTCCGCACATAAGTATAAAGTTGAACTCATGTTGCCTTATTACAAGAGGAGTCTAGTCAAGAAAGCCCACAATCATGCCGACATCGACCAATTACGTCAATTCGCTCTTGGTGACACATTTCCATCATGAACACTCGTATGGACTTTCGAGTTAATAGTCCTTATTGGAGAAAATGATGACCATTCATGCAACACACGTGAGTACAACATATATGTAATATTAAATACATACTCAATATCTTTTACCTAAAATTAAAGTCATGTTTCAGGACAAAAAGGTTCATTTAAAGTCATGTTTCAGGACATACAGTCAACAAAGTGTACAATGGCATGAAATTAGAAAGAAAGGCAGGTTCATTGATTGATTAGTCAGTGTTGTAGGTTAAAAAAAAAAAAAACTTTTACTTTTCCAGGATATAAGCAGCAATTTATTGGTACTGCATTAGTTAACAGAGAAATTGACAAGAACATAACTCCAAAAGAAATTAATTTGCAAGTCATGATTATATTCTTCATGGATTCTCTAAATCCTCTCTTTTCTCCCCCACTTTTCAAGATTTTTCACTGCTGTAATTTCTTCCCATTTATGGAATTTACTGTACATGCATTGTATTCCTCAAGTGGCTCCCACTCCAAGAAAATCTATGAATGCAATGTTCTCAAATTTTGCATTTTCATTTTCCCCAAACATGTAGAGATTGGCCTTCCTATTGTTGGCTACTGATTCAGATGCTTCAGTAACTTCAGAATTTGAATCTGAGTGACCTGATTGATCCACTTCTGCAGCATTTCTCATTGGCTCATTCTCATAGTGCTGACCATTACTATGAACCAGCGCATTTTCTTCTTTTGTTAAACCTGAAACGCAAGTTAAACAAAGGGATTCATATGAACAAATAAGCCATAACTTATTGAAGACTTAATTCCTACTAATGCTAGCTCGTCCTCAACTTGAAAACTACGTCCATTTTGCAAGTTTCACTATGACGAAGAAGAATAGGACAAAGTGATCATCAAATGCCTCTCCCACTAAAAATGATAATAGGCCTCCAAATAGTAGGAATATTAGGTTGATTCGCGGTCGAAATGGTAACTCTACAGTATAATTAGACTTTCCACGGTCCAAGACTTAAAAAGATAAAAATCATCATACCTATCTTTGATTCCAAGAGATTGTGCTGCTGGACAGGTCTTAACCTGCTGATAAACCGAGGCATTGTAACAGAAGAGGGAGTGAGGGAAAGATCAGTACTGCAGGTTGAGGCAGCATATTCATCAGCAATATTGTCATTGGCCATGGTTGATTCACTGTAAGCATTATTTTGTATGTTAGTTTGAACCCTTGAACAAGAGGGTTTTCTTCTTCTATAAACACTGATTTGCTCTCTATTTTTTCTTGCCATTGTCACATGCCAATGATTCTTGACTGCATTATCAGTTCTTCCAGGGAATAGCCTAGCAATCATAGCCCATTTGTTACCATACATTCTATGTGCAGCTAAAAGCCTTTCTTCTTCCTCATCAGTGAAACCCCTTCTGTTTAATCTAGGATCTAACTGGTTAAACCATCTCAATCTGCAACTTTTCCCTGAAAATTGTCAATGAAAATAGCAATCAAGAAATAAGTGTTTGAAAAATGTATAGATCGATCAATAAATGGAAACCAATCAGTAAGAAGCATAACTGGCTAAGCTTAAAACTTATATAAGTAAAAGCATGTTATAAAATTTTCACATAAGTGAGCACATCTGATCATGTTTAAAAGCACTTTTTTAAGTGATTTTCTTAGCCAGCTGAATACATTTTTATCCACCAAAAAAGCTCAAAAGAGTGCCCAGAAAGGCGGCTTTTAAACGCAGCAACAAAAAGCAATTTATCTCAACATTTTCAAAACGAAAAACAATCATGCCTGATCTTCCTTCAAGCTTTTCTGCAATGAGATTCCAGTTCTGAGGACCATATCGAGAAACAAGTTCTTTGAGCTTAGCATCTTCATGAGGTCTCCAATGGCCTCTGGCACATAACTTTCTAAGTCCAGTTTTTCTCCCAATTTCTTCATTCTCAGTGCCTTCATTTTTCAACTTTATTGATCTTCCCTCTTCCATTGGAGGAGAAAACCAATGCCTTTTCAGATTTTGCTCTAATGGAGCTTTCAAATATTGAAACCCCATCTCATGAGGGGCCATAGATGTCAAGTCTTGAAATCCACAGGAAATATCTCTCATTGTAACTGCAAATCTAGGAAAAAACTTGCACAGAAATTGACTATCTAGCAAGAAAATCCACTGGATATTCTTTTTAAACAAATTGACTTATTTCTTTATTGCTTGTACAATGCGATAAAAGCAGAAAAGTGAATTCTTTCAACTAAATAAACAGACAGAAATCTCATTTTTAAGGTTTATGAAACAGAAAAGATGAAAAAAAAGGGGGGGTTTTCTCTAACTGGAAACTATTGACGAGGAACAGAATGTGTTTTTTCTCTAACAAACCCTCTTTTGTCCTCAAATTATTTGAGTTAGGTCCATGTTTCGAGACCTTAAACAAACATTTTTTTTCCTATTCTCTATATATCTATAGGTTTCTCTCTCTATATCTATATATGTGTGCGTGTGTGTGCATGCAAATCGAGAACCCCTCGTGTGGGTGTGGTGGGAGTCCCCATTGAACTGCTCTTATTCCCTGATATCATTATTTTAGAGCAAAAACACAGAATCTGTTCGTCTCTTTTCTGAAAAACTTTATTTTAAAAGCTTTTTATGATTATGAAAATTCAACATTCAAAACTCAAAAGAAAACCCTTTTGAACACACATCACACCACCTGTCCTAAATTGATCCCACTTCGAAAAAATCTATTTTAAACCTAAATTTATTTCATTGTTTTAGACCTAACTTTAAACCTAATTTGTGTAATTGATACATAAATGGAAATTAGGAACCTCAGTATTGACACTCCGATATTAATGGAGTTAGGTTTGGACGGGTAATTTGACATAAATGTGCTTCTTTGCAAATTCAAGCGTCTAAACTATCGCGACCTATAAAAAATATGTTTGCGAGAACAACAATTGAACAATACGTTTGCGAGAACAACAATTGAATTCATAAGTTGATTACAAAATAGAGAGACTTGAATTTAAAACCTCGTAATTCTAAAAATCTTAAATTTATAAGTCGAGATGAATTGGTTGTGTTTATTCATCGTGTAATAAATAATGCCCAATTAAGCAAATAATTAAATGGTCAATGAAAGGAATTCCAAGCCCTTGGTGTAATTTTGTATTCTCAATGAAAATATCAATATATCATTAAGGCATGTTTATTGATAATTCTTAGATCACTTAAAAAAATTAAGGGTTTTTATATTTGTGTTTCAGTTTTGAGTTTTGAATTCATTTTAAGATTGTTGAAAATGTGATCTTTTTGGTATTTTGAAAATTTGTTTTGAAAACACCCAAAACGCGTTTTAAAAATTTTGGCTTGATCGTTTTGGGTTTTCTTTGTAAATTTTTAATTTGTTCTCAAAAACGAGTTTTCGAAAATAGGAAAGAGAACACATTTTCACTGTTTTGAAAAATCGAAAGCAGAAAATGGCTTAAAAATTGTAAAGAGAACAGACTCTAAGCTTTCTTCTTCAAAACAAGTTAGGTTTGACGAGTTCGACTCGTCGGGATACATACTCAACAAATCGGTTAAAGAAATGAGATTTGGCACAATTTGTGGAAAGAGTTGACTATACCGGATAAGATGGGCACTCAACATAATAGTTTCTTTGTGATTTTTCAAAAGGTTACGTTTGAATTATTCGATCTATATACGTTCATTGCACTTGTGCAATACAAAACGTGGTAAATCAGGAGGGAGAAAGAGAGAAAGTGGACATAAAAACAGTGTTTGTTGAAAAGAAGAGCATAAAGGTATCAACAAATGTTACTTTATTTCACTAATTCTTTTCAAAAAGGAATTTCGGCATTGAGACCTTTCAATGAGAATAACAAACATGTTTCACTATCAACGTAACATCATATGAAATTAGGGCTTTGTGCTTTCCCTTAAATTGGTTGTTTAATTATTAACATTATTGTTACCAACGTCATTAGCGAAAAATCCTAAACCTTAAACCTCGTAGTTTAGAATCCCATTGAATTTATACATTTTTTTAATTTTAAAATTCGAAAAAGTTCGACAGCTTCAAAAATGAATTATATATACATATAAAGTGAATATATTATATTTAAGAATTTTTTAAGGAAGTAAAATGTCAATATATCCTTTGCAATTAATGAAACTGCAATAAATTAATTGCATATTCAAACTAGTTGAAACCAGTATGCTTTTAACTAGAACCGAACATGGGACAGATTCCTTTCATTTCCAAGAACTGAAACCGACCATTAAAATATTCATTTAACCAAGTCTCAAATCTCGATTCGAAAACAACGTGGACTGTCGAACATAGATTAAGAAATTAATGCTACTCAAGGCTTATATATATTACCTCTTCGATGATTTTGAATCTTGGCTCATTTAACCCTTTTATTGGTCCAAGTAAAGCCGAACCTATATAAATGAAATCTTTACATTAAGTGAATGATTTGTGTATACAATTGAGAGACTACATGGATGCCTTCTTGCTGAAAAATAGTTGCCTTAAGGAGAGAAAAATCGGTGGCCTTCTTTGTGTATTTGGCCTCCCCTTTACGTCTTCCTGTATTGTATTTCTCGTGCCTTTGTGGTTTACAAATCATCACCATTATCTTATCCGTTGTGAGTGAAATTGAGGAGCAATCGAAGTGAATATATTGGTTGTGAGTTGTGCCATTTGGATTGATTGTTTGATAGAGAAAGATAACGTTGAGCCTGAAAATCCCCGTTTTGACAATTCTTGGAGTGAGCTTTCACGACAATTGGTATCAGAGCTTCAGGGTGGTAGATTTGTCTCGAAAAATTAATCGAAAATCGTTCAAAAAAGGGGGCTTAAACGAAGCAAAAAAAGATCCCAAAACTATCCAAAAAAACTACCAAAAATCGAGGTTGTTTTCGTGCTTTCCGACCAATCCATAAGGGGTTTGGTGATATGGAGACCACCGATGTGACATGCAGGTTGAGGTGCACCAGGTTGACTAGCGTGTGAGGCGTCTGACGACGTATGAAGCCCACGCGTAGAGGTTGTTGGTGGCACATCGAGGCGTCTTCTGGAGGAGGTCTCTTCAGGTAGTTTGTTGTGACATTGTGGTATTGTTAGTTTTTTGTTCCATGTTATACAACAAAAACATGGACGATTTTGTTCTTCGCTCATTTGGGATTTGATCGTGGTTGATTGATTTCTGCAATTGCTAGAGACTTTGGGGCGAATAGCGGTGGTCCTAAAGTGATAAATTCGCATCCCTCGTTATTTACGGACTCAGATTTCTCCGCTCTAGTATATTGGCTTATCTCAATTTAAATTTTAGTATTAGCGTTTCATCGTGTAAGGTGACTTTAGAATTGGGGTTACCATGCGGGTAACCATTGTTTATGCTAGAAATTTAGGAATTATTTGATATGTTTCAAGTGTTGAATTTGATTGCAACTTGATAATTGATTTTGTGTCTTAACTGTCGTTTACTCACTGTGTGATACTGCATTGTCTGAGAATTTGAATTTTTGTTGACATACTTTCGTATTACATTAATTATTCTGTTAGAACACCTAAATCTAACCCGTTTAAACATTCCCTTGACACCGAGATCTTTAGTCTCACAAAATTCTAGGAATTTAGAACGGTGTATACTGCCGCCTTAGGATTACTTTGTGTAACCTATTTGTTTACTTTGATTGTTCTATTTTTCAAAATATCTTCACATTTCGAAATTGAAATTTTCAATGAAAAATGAGATTTTTCAATTTGACAATAAAAGATGAAATGAATTTTGGTTTAACAAAAAGATTTAAAAGTCATAGATTACAAATTTGACAGAAGCACGTAAAAAAAAATGATGGACTTGCTTACACTTCAATTATTTTACACCATCGACACTGTTTTGAGAAAAGTTGTAAACTTGATACCGCGAAAGAATTTTGGAAAAAGTTGGAAGATCTATATTTGCTTAATTTACTTCTAATAAGTTGTACTTTCTTGAAAAAAATTTCAATTTTAAAATGAATCATTCAAAGGATCTTGATGACAATCTGGATATTTTTGACAAATTTGTTTAAGATATCGTTAATCTGTCTGGAACTTACAAGGCTATCATTTTTCTTAATTTTAGTCGTGATTCATATAGAGAGGTTAAAAATGCGATTAAGTATGGTAAGAACACCTTAATACCTGAGATTGCCATTAATTCTCTTAAGAGTAGAGAGATGGAGATTAAGGCTAAAAAAGAGGATATGAGGAATGGTGAGTTACATATGATGATGAGTAGAATGAAATTTAAGCGTATGAATTTGGGTAGAGCTCAAGACAATAGTGACTCGAATGATGAGGGTGATAAAAAGAATGACAATGGATGGAACAAGTCCGGTGGTAAGCGATGTTACAGTTGTGGTAAGTCTGGACATTTTGTGAGGGATTGTCCCAAGAAGAAGGATAAACAGAAGCGTAAGATGAGAGGTGAGGCGAATGTGGGTATAAAATCGAGTAATGACCCTAGTGAAATTTATTGAGAGTAAACTTAGTTACTGCATATGCATCTGTGTATAATCATTTCTGCATGTGTGTGACTGCTTAATTCTATTGTATGGTTATATGTTGCATTTCAATGTGTTTGATATGTACATTTGCATGAATTTGATAGACATATGATTACTTGGCATAATTGTTTGCATGCATAGTAGATTGAGATGCATTAGCAGTATGTGTAATATAGATTATAGATGCATATGAGCACATTGGTGGTATGTACTGGGGATAGTGAGTGTGACATTTGTATCACGAGTAGAGAGGTGATTAAATGTTGGAATCCTTCATCTGTGAAGACCATGATCAGGTGAAGTGTGAGAGAGCACTTCTATAATTTTTGTTAGATGGAGACTCATTATCCGGTGAGATTGGGAGAAGTGATGTGGTGATAGAGGATTATCCCGTGGACTTAGGATCTATATAAGTTTATCCAGTTAGACATGAGTTGAGTGATCAGTCTACTAAGCATGGTGGGCGATAAAAGAAGATATGCGTTCTTGAGGAATGAGCCATACAGAATGAGATAGGATAAGTGCAACGAGATCTTTTCATGGAGTCA